CATTAGGGGAGCTCTCGAATGTGCAGTTAAGTAGCATTACTGCCGATGGTAATTTAGTAACTATGGGCGGGGTTGTCGTCGGACGTATACACCCAGCCACAATACAAACTAACGGCCATACAATACAACAACAGATCCGTACAACTGCACAGCCCGTAACGCGCGAAGAACTGCAACAAATGGGTGTAGTAAAAGTTGAATCGCCTAGTGAATTTATAAGCGAGGGATGAGTTGAGTATGAACTGTTGTTGGAATATATGCTCAAAGAGGATGAGGAGGAAAATTAAAATTGAAATTATATGCCGCATATAAATATTAAAATCGAAATCGAAATAAATATTTCAATGAAATTATATGTTATACAATACAATAAACTATAGTTTCCGAGTTTCAGTTGCTATGGAAGCTTTCAAAATGTTTAATGAACTCTTAAATGTGTAGATTAGTGCTACTAATGTTGTTGCTGTTGTTATTAATTGTTTAACTGTAGTCATCATTATAATTGTTATAAAATTGGCAAGCAAAATAGGATTTTGAATATAAGAAATTTAATATAGAAATTAACAAAAATTAGTAGTTTAAACGGTTGCTTAAAACGAATAATAAAAACAAACATTAAAGAAGCTACAACAATTTTAGAAATTCTTTGAAAGAAATTAGCAAGTTAAGTGTTTAAAAATATAAAAATGTATAACAATACAAAAATACGAGAAGTATAAAAGAAATTCTATTTCTAAGACAAATAATTAAAAATAATTACAATAGGAAAAATTTTAAATTTATTTATTTTGAAAATATTTCTTTTTTTCTCAATATTTAATTTTTTAATATATTTTCGTTTCTTTTTTTTTCTTTAGTATTAAAAAACTTATACGGTTTGACTATTTGTTGTCAAAACAAAAAAGTTGTAAAAATTGTTATTAAATATATTATAACAACTGAAGTTTAATAGTAAACAAAATAAATGAAAAATAAAAACTGTAAATAAATATTAGTTTTAAATAACAGCACAAAATAAATCAATCAAATTGACAAAAAAAAAGAAAATGTAAAAACAAAATCATATATTGTATATTGTAATTTCGCTTAAAACAAAAAGCAATTGGAAATTAATTAAATTTTTCCTTTTCAATAAAATTAGTTATAATCAGATTTTTATATTAATTTGAATATAATTTATTTAATTTCTTAACATATTTTTAAGTTATTTGCTTAAAATAAGAAGAAACCACAACTATTAATTTTAATAAAAAAGATGAAATGTTTAATTTTCGTTATTATTAAATAACAATTTAGTTTAACTTTGTTATACATAAAAAATGTTTTTCATATACTCTACCTTACTTAGACTAGCAATGGACCTTAAAAAAGTCCGCCAAAGCATAGTACTCTAAGTAATGAGAGAAAGACAATATTACGGAAAAAGTCACTTATAATTTAAAATTCGCTCCGATTGTATATATGAACATATATGTATACTCCTCTCGTTGCGAAATTGTGCATAGACATGTAATTTTAGTAAACATATGAATTTAAGTTATAGTTATTAAATTGATTTAGTTATTTTTAAATTTAAAAAAACAGCTCAAAAAACAAATGTAAAGTAAAAGAAGACAGAATAATATTTTCTACACAATAATAATTTATGAAATCTTGATTGTTTTCTTTAAGATAACATTTTGTTCAAATTTCTAAATTGCAAAAAAAAAAATGTGTTTAAATAAATATTTTATTAACACATGCAAATTTTTATGTTCTTTTATTTTTTATGTTATTTTATTTAAGTTTAAATTAAAAGTTTATATAAAAATTTAAATTTGTTTTTAATTCTAAAATAATTTGGTTTTGTAATAAAATATTCATAGATTTTTTTTATTTGCTCTTAAATACTAAATCGATTCTACTTATGTTTAACATCTGAAAAATGAAAGTTTAAGTCCATATTTAAAAGTTCTGTTGATAATTAAAAGATCTGATATATATGTTTTTACAAAAAATTATTCATAGTTCAATACAGCGTTTATGATTTTATTTTATTATTTTTTTTACTTGGTTTTAGTTACTTAAAGTCAATATCATTTCTCTACAATCAAGTGATTTGGTTTTTAAAAAGCATATATAATAATACTGATAACTTGGCGTTGAACTAAGAAACAACTGTAAAGATTGTATAATTACTAGTGCTTGAAATATTATACGAGCTGTTCGAATATTCGGGCAGGATGCTCGAATTGATCATTATATTGTGTTCGAATATGCTTACACAACATAGTGTTCAAGTATTTCCTGATATACCAATTTGTTTAAGCAAAAATAAAATATTTTATTGTTTTGAATTAACTTTCTGTTAAGGTTTGTGTGAACTTTTTTATTTATTTATGCAGTATATTTATTTATATAGTGCTTTTCTATATAAAAGCTGTCAATGTGTGAAAGAGTTTTAATTTCTTCATCAGAATATTATTATGAAAATATAATCAAATTTACACTTCAAGTAGTTAGAATATCTCCGTATAGCTCGATTATTTCCAAACATTTGAACTGTTCAATCCAAATATTCAAGTTTGAGTAGATCGATCTAAGTGCTCGAATAATTCGAATATTTGAAGTGTTTAATACAAATATTCGAATTCTACTAAGATCGAACTATTCAAATAGTTTGATACTCAAGAAACTTGAGAGCGCTAATATATACTTTTTAAAAACCAAATCACTTGATTGTAGAGAAATGATATTGACTTTAAGTAACTAAAACCAAGTAAAAAAAATAATAAAATAAAATCATAAACGCTGTATTGAACTATGAATAATTTTTTGTAAAAACATATATATCAGATCTTTTAATTATCAACAGAACTTTTAAATATGGACTTAAAATTTCATTTTTCAAATGTTAAACATAAGTAGAATCGATTTAGTATTTAAGAGCAAATAAAAAAAATCTATGAATATTTTATTACAAAACCAAATTATTTTAGAATTAAAAACAAATTTAAATTTTTATATAAACTTTTAATTTAAACTTAAATAAAATAACATAAAAAATAAAAGAACATAAAAATTTGCATGTGTTAATAAAATATTTATTTAAACACATTTTTTTTTTTTGCAATTTAGAAATTTGAACAAAATGTTATCTTAAAGAAAACAATCAAGATTTCATAAATTATTATTGTGTAGAAAATATTATTCTGTCTTCTTTTACTTTACATTTGTTTTTTGAGCTGTTTTTATAAATTTAAAAATAACTAAATCAATTTAATAACTATAACTTAAATTCATATGTTTACTAAAATTACATGTCTATGCACAATTTCGCAACGAGAGGAGTATACATATATGTACATATATACAATCGGAGCGAATTTTAAATTATAAGTGACTTTTTCCGTAATATTGTCTTTCTCTCATTACTTAGAGTACTATGCTTTGGCGGACTTTTTTAAGGTCCATTGCTAGTCTAAGTAAGGTAGAGTATATGAAAAACATTTTTTATGTATAACAAAGTTAAACTAAATTGTTATTTAATAATAACGAAAATTAAACATTTCATCTTTTTTATTAAAATTAATAGTTGTGGTTTCTTCTTATTTTAAGCAAATAACTTAAAAATATGTTAAGAAATTAAATAAATTATATTCAAATTAATATAAAAATCTGATTATAACTAATTTTATTGAAAAGGAAAAATTTAATTAATTTCCAATTGCTTTTTGTTTTAAGCGAAATTACAATATACAATATATGATTTTGTTTTTACATTTTCTTTTTTTTTGTCAATTTGATTGATTTATTTTGTGCTGTTATTTAAAACTAATATTTATTTACAGTTTTTATTTTTCATTTATTTTGTTTACTATTAAACTTCAGTTGTTATAATATATTTAATAACAATTTTTACAACTTTTTTGTTTTGACAACAAATAGTCAAACCGTATAAGTTTTTTAATACTAAAGAAAAAAAAAGAAACGAAAATATATTAAAAAATTAAATATTGAGAAAAAAAGAAATATTTTCAAAATAAATAAATTTAAAATTTTTCCTATTGTAATTATTTTTAATTATTTGTCTTAGAAATAGAATTTCTTTTATACTTCTCGTATTTTTGTATTGTTATACATTTTTATATTTTTAAACACTTAACTTGCTAATTTCTTTCAAAGAATTTCTAAAATTGTTGTAGCTTCTTTAATGTTTGTTTTTATTATTCGTTTTAAGCAACCGTTTAAACTACTAATTTTTGTTAATTTCTATATTAAATTTCTTATATTCAAAATCCTATTTTGCTTGCCAATTTTATAACAATTATAATGATGACTACAGTTAAACAATTAATAACAACAGCAACAACATTAGTAGCACTAATCTACACATTTAAGAGTTCATTAAACATTTTGAAAGCTTCCATAGCAACTGAAACTCGGAAACTATAGTTTATTGTATTGTATAACATATAATTTCATTGAAATATTTATTTCGATTTCGATTTTAATATTTATATGCGGCATATAATTTCAATTTTAATTTTCCTCCTCATCCTCTTTGAGCATATATTCCAACAACAGTTCATACTCAACTCATCCCTCGCTTATAAATTCACTAGGCGATTCAACTTTTACTACACCCATTTGTTGCAGTTCTTCGCGCGTTACGGGCTGTGCAGTTGTACGGATCTGTTGTTGTATTGTATGGCCGTTAGTTTGTATTGTGGCTGGGTGTATACGTCCGACGACAACCCCGCCCATAGTTACTAAATTACCATCGGCAGTAATGCTACTTAACTGCACATTCGAGAGCTCCCCTAATGATGTGACATTGAAATGTTCCAAAGTGGCGGACGGTGTTGTTATAATAGTATTCTGATTATTATTAGCATGGTTATGATTTTGTTGCTGTTGCTGGGCGGTTGTTGCAATACCTGTTGTAGCTATAGACGTTGGAATTGTAGTTGTGGCTATAACATTCCGATGGTGATCACTAGAGGTTTGATTTGCGCCAGCAATCACCATATCCTCTAGTCATCCCTCTTCTTCCTCAGTTTTAATTTTAACGGGTACATAAACCTTATCCATAACATGAATCTTTATATGATTGTTAAGTGTGCTAGACTGTCGAAATTGTTTTTTGCATACCGCACATTCAAAAGGTTTTTCACCTAAGCAAACACAAAAGAAAGGAAAAATTTAATTAATTTAGTGGAAAAATTTCTTTTTTAACTTCAATATTATACCTGTGTGTATCTTGAGATGATTCGTCAGGGTACTTAATTGCCGAAAATTTTTTGGACAATATGTGCATGTAAACGGTTTCTCGCCCGTGTGAATTTTTAAATGATTAGTTAGTGTGGACGATTGACGAAATGTCTTTTCACATATATTGCATTTATAGGGCTTTTCACCTGTATGTATCTTAACATGATTGGTTAAGGTACTTAGTTGTCGAAATCTTCGTTCGCATACATTACACTGAAAGGGCTTCTCATGTGATGTACCAGTGCCATTGTGTCCATTCGAAACCGGAGTATCATGCCCGCTTACTTGCTGTTCTGAAATTGCAGGACTATTTGCTGCTGTTGCCACAAGATGTGCCAGTGAATGCTGTTGAAAAATAGCATGATGCGTAACTGTTACTCCATTTCCCTGCTGTTGTTGTTCAGCAGCTGCTGCTTGTGCTGCTGCCGCCTGTGCTGCAGCCATTGCAGCAGCCTGTGCTGCTGCGTGTGTTTCAGCATTTACAGTAGTGAGATGCATATTGAATGGTAGTGCTATTTCAGTTGTAGTTGGCGGTTGCTGTTGTTGTTGTTGCTGCTGCTGTTGTTGTTGTTGCTGTTGTTGTTGCTGCTGCTGCTGATGCGCTCCAGTTGTGTTTTCGTTGCTACTAGCTGTATTATTATTATTGCCATTTGTGTTGACATTATTTGCTGTTGGCGATACAATAACGATCTCACAATTGGAGAGTTGCGCAGCGGCTGCGTGTGCATGTTGTAGAGTTTTAATGTGCATTATTGTTAATAAGTTTTTTAAGGACTATAATTTTATTTTATTGTTTTGTTTTGTTTTGTTTTTTCAGTCAATGTTTTAATACATTGGACTACTGTTAATCTTTCAATTTGATCTTCTAAAATGAATTCACGATTTAGGGAAACCTTGTAATGGTTATATCATGGTTTGGTATGGCGTTGTCTTCTTTAAGTGCTAGTTTCTTTCAAAACTCACTTTTGCGCCTTTAACCTAAAATATAAATTAAAGTTTTTAATTACATTTTATTATTTTAAATAAAATGAAAAATATTTTTAAATTTAAAATTTATTAACATGCTCACACCAAATCAGAACTGCAATATCTTAACACAAATGCAATATTTATTCTATCAGAAAGATAAGCTGAACTTCAAAATGTACTTCTGTTAAATCACCTACATAAAATGA